TATCATATATTATTATATATATATTATTATTATATATAATATATATATATTTATATATATATTTATATATATTTATATTTATATATTTATATATCTATATTTATGTATATTATTTATTATATATATTAATAATATTAATAATATACATTATTATATATATTTTTCATAGTCATATTATTTTATTTTAAAATAATGATTCAATTTATTTTCAATTATTATATATATATATTATAATAAACAATTTTTTACAATATCAAAGACACAATTATTATTATTATTATAAATTTATTTTATTATCAAAATATGAATGTGAATTGAATAATATTGAATATTATTAATATTTTGATAAATTCGTGCGTACGGTAACTATTAAAGGTTATTGAAATTCGTGCAAAGCCTTGGGCAATGATTCCTTTGAAAATAGTGTATTGATGTGTATTGGTATGCACTGATCCCATTTTTCATTATTTTTCTATAGGCAAAATATATTTATTGGAGGGCGAAAGCTTTGAAATACGACCAAATAGATTATATTATTGTTCAAGAATAAAATAGATCAAATTCCAACAATCAATGGTGCAATACCATGGCTCGCACAGGTTTCATGAACACATTACTTTCTGAACTGGATTTAGGCACAAATCTGTACAGCTGAGCGTGCCTTTCAGGCGTCTTCAGGAGTCGCTAAATGATGCTGAGAACCAAATGGAAACCATGCCAACAAACAACGCAAATCAATATTCATTAAGAGGTCAAGCAAGGGCTCCTTTTCATTGCAGCAACTCCAGCTGTTGTGCTGTTCTTGTGTTATGTGGCTGGCTTTTCATTTGAAGAAGCGCAGGACCACGGACAGGCTGAAAGTCTGACAGAGAAGCCTGTTGATAATTCTCAATATTTCTCAATTATATATTCTTATTTCTTATGCTTGTTTTTCAAGACTACAACTTCCTCAGCTCCAACTTTCAGCCCATACTGTTTAGATATTTTAGAGAGGGAAGCTCCTTGAGCCAACTTTAGAACTCGTGATAGCCTGGGGCGCGTACATGAGATCTGAACTTCTTCAAGCTGCCAAAGCAAATCTCCAACCACATCTGCTTCATCTGCGCTAGTTCCAACACCCACCGTTCAGATCCCAAACGCTCCACCCAGGTTTCTACCTCATGCATACCAAACCTTGTCAGGCCTTGTCAATGCTTCTTTCCAAGCTCCGCTGGTGTCTTTTTGGCCGCCCAGCAAAGCTTCTATCTTTTTCCATTGCGTTGTTAGGCAAGGACTGCACTCGCCTCAAGCTAGGGCCGCTAGAAGATCCCACGCAAGCTTCGCTTTCAGCGCTATCTTCCCACAAGGTACGTGACTCTGCGATCGCAGCCCGGTGCCGTGTATGGCTCCTGACTCGTTCGCTGCTCCCCGCCGGGATCGCTTCAACTTCCAAACCAAGGGCAGCCGCTGCGACGATAGCGGTGCGGTGACGGCCGCCGCGGCTGAGACGTGCCCCGCCCTTGGGCGGAAGTCCAAACGGGGGCGGGCATGGCGGGCCCGAGCCAGCACCAGAGAGGCTTCGGGGACGGGTGCGGGCTCGCTTGCTGTCTTCCTGAGCGGTTCAATGGTAACACGACAAAATACAGGTCACCAAAATGGTCTGACCGGGAAGTGGAAGACACTGAGGAGATCGCAATGCAAATGTGATTCATGTTGATTCATCATTACTGTAGATTATGCTTATGAAAGACTACGTAGTATTTTATAATATCATCATTTGCATCGAATGGCATGCCTGGCCCATTGAAGCAAATTCCAAGCTTCCACTGGCGCGGCGTCTTGTCTTGGCCGCGGACATGGCTCCTCGAACTTGCGGTTCAAGCTGTGATCTCCTGAGTGAATTCACCATTATCTAATCATGATGTGTCATCGGGTTGCATCCAGCACAGCACAACCCTCTACTCCGCATCTGATTGTCGAAAGTTTCCTGTAACTGCTGAAAAACATGGTTTTCGTGTTGTCAAATGACACTGCGATACACTGCGCAAAATATCTTTGCTGCGGCTATCACTCTTTGGCTGTGGGCTGGAAAACATCTTCATCAAAGGGCAGTATAGGACACTGGGCGAAGACTGCGCTGTCCCTTCCTCCAAGAGGAGCAGTCGAACTTTACAATCTTTAAATTTAGAACATTCCCAAACATCAAAGGACACCTTCATGATATGGGACTGCACCGGTACCTAAAAGGATTGATGAATGCTATATCATCAGAGATAATCAGAGTCACAGTTAATTCCTGCAATCCCCTGCCAAGTCTCTTTGTCTTTTTGGATCCTGTCGGTCAGAGTCCTCCTCGGGAACGGCCTAGCACGGGCACAACCTAACGCGGGGTAGTTTCGGATAATTATTCTTTTCCGTATCGTTGGTTCAACAGCTTTGTCTGAGCCTTCTTAAGAGGTTTGGAAGAAGACATGGATCCTCAACAGAAAGGAGAACTGCAGCCCAATGATTGGACACTACTGAGATCTACTGAGTACTACTGTACCTTCTTGGAAGCGTCGCCTTGGGATTGAGCCAATCCACTTTTGTGAAACATCTTGGGCGTCAACAGGCGAATCCCAAGGGCTCTTGGCTCGAACGCCTTTATCAACGCTCACTTCCACCCTTTAGGCACGAAGCAGTTCCCACCAGTCTGCACCTCTGTCTTTACTTTTCGCATATGAGGCCTGCGGGGAGGGAAGCCTGTTTCACACACAGTTCTGAAAGACTTGCTTCATCACAGTGTCATCGCAACTCAACACAGCATCATCGCTAATCTCCAGCAGAATTCCTTCAAGAAACCCCTGCATTACAGTAAATCTGCACAGCATTGCTCAGCTGACTCTGCAAGTTCCTGGAGCTCTTGAGACATCTTGAGACACCGTGTCCGCTGCTACCCTGCGCAACCTTCCCTTTGGACATCTCGTTCACATGTCGTTCACGAATGCTGGTTGGAAATGCACAAGCCAATTGCAATATCACCCATCCCTTGAGCAAACATTGAAAAACCATCAATCTCCTACCTTTCAAAGGTCAATCAGGGCGTGACATGACCAAAACATAGCCTTGCTTTCGGTTCTGCCTTTTCCACAGCATGTGCGTCAGAAGTGTGTCTTGGTGCAGCATGGTGTAGAAACATGAAGATCAATTGCCTTGAGCCTGATTTCAATATGGGCTACACGAGCTAGACGGGCTGACCACGGCTGACCTTGGCACCTTTGGCGGTGCCGTACTTGGCTTCTGAGGCATCTTCGAACTCTTTGGTGCCTCAGCTGGGAACTGAGATGAGCTCAGCGGCATCTGGGATGCTGAAGCATCTTCTTTGGTGGCGTGGGAAGCAACAAGATTTCATTGGCAACGGCGAAGCTAGAAGATTGTGAAATGCATTCAGCTACGCTCTTGTTGCTACGTGTTGCTTTGGCACTTTGCACTTTGCACTTGCTTGGGTGGTTTGGACCACTAGAGGAGGGACCACGAAGCACAAGTATTCTGAACTAATCAGGCAATGGAAGACTATGACCCTGAATGGAGAAGCTGCTGAGAGCTTCAACATGAAGCGCGAAATCTTTGACCAGGTTGCTGTTTCTTGCCTTTTCATCAACCATGTCTAAAATCTTGACTGTGGTGGTGGTGGTACCGTGCAAGCCTTTTCCATCTCTCTCACATTAATACCAGAACAATCGATCTCTCCCTTCGACTGACAGTATTCCGACCCTGCTAGAAATGACATATAAACGAACTTTGATGTGTAAGCACAAGCTACCATCACAGGTTAGTGTTGTTCTTACAGTAGCAAACATACACAATAAGATCTGTCAAATTCTAAAGCCCCCAGCAAATGCGCCCTCAAGGTTTCCAAGATTTGCATCGCTCCACTATCGAAGCTCTGGAAACTTTTTCCCTGACCTCGGCGACCGCCTCCCCGTGGACTATCGCATCCTGGAGATTGCAGCCAGCAGGGACCCAGGAGCTCACATGTCTCACATGGCTGACCCATGATGATGGGGGGGGCGGGGGGTTGGAACGCTGGAACATATATATATATATGTATATAGATATATGTATGTATGTATGTATGTATGTATATGTAAATGTATATGTATATGTATGTCTGTGTGTATGCATGCATGCATGTATGTAATATACATATACACATTATGAATATGTATATGTAGAATATGTACATATATATATACGTATATATATATATTACATATATAATAGAGTGTATGTGTATATATATATATACATAGAACAAAGTTTGAAGTGCATATTTGTGTCTGTCTGTGTGTGCAATTATCTATGTAAAGATATAGCAAACAAATCCACATATGTTTACTTTGGTATTTGCTATAGGCATGACATCGAAGCAACAGTGCACTTGCTGGCAAGTGCGCTCAAAGAAACAGTAATCTTGCAAATGGTGCTCAGGGTTGATGTACTAGTTTTGCGGTGAGGTCTAGGTTGCCGGCCTTTCTCTCCAGAAACTGAAACGTTTCCGGAAACAAAACTTGAGAAAACCTCCAGGTGCCAAGCTATGCCACTCCTCCTCGAGATCTTCTGATGGAATGCAGGGTAGCTCTCGACCAGAAGACCACGCCTGTGGAATCAATTGGGATTGACAGCTCGAGACAAACCAAGCGCATCAAGCACCACTCAAAAAATCATGGGAAATCTGCCAGAATCGATCCAGTTATTTTTGGATTGTTTGGCACTTGGGTGGCAATCCGAGACTTCACCCGACTTCGGGCTCGCCAAGTCACTACCTGCTTTGGCTGGCAAAGCTGGGGTCCTTGCCACTGATGGACCGAGAGTGACCGAGATATGTGGAGCACATGATTTCAGATGTGTCATCCATGTATGCCTTGATAAATCCATCCATCATCCTCAATTCGCAGTGTCATTTGCTTGTGGCTGATTCACGTTAACTCATGCTTGCTTAAGAAACCCACTGACCTGCATGACACATTGTCACTTCTTCGGATGTCTCCTTGGACCCTTTACGTCGAACTGTCACAACCTCCAAAACTGTACTTCTACCTCGAACCTCAACGTTTAGCCTCGAGCAGCCTTTGACAATTTTAATACATCTTTTTACATACTAGTATTTTCAACACCAAGGAACCCAGTGCAATCGTGGGACCCTGTACCTGGAAGCCTACAACGGACAATAATACGGAGACAAAACTGTACTAAAATGTACAGTACCAACTGCAGCATCAAGCATTGTGCGAATGTCCATGTGCAAATCATGCGCATTTGGCATTTGGATCATTTGGGCATTGTGATGTATTGTGATGTATTGTGATGTACACAAAATTACAAAAAGGCATGGAGATGACGTGAAAATTCGCGCCAGGCCACGGGAGGGTACCAAAGCAGGCGGCAGTTCCAAGGCTTCCAGTGATCCAAGGCCCAAGGCCTTAGAAAATTCATGTGCTATGACAACTCTATGACAGTACTATGATGTACGGTACTATGATGTACTATGATGTACTATGATGTACTATGATGTACTATGATGTACTATGAACATCGATTCTACATGCTGCAAAGCCTGAACGTATTCTGACACTTTTTTTTCTTCATTTTTGCCACTTTATTGTCAAAGAGAAAAAACTCATCTGCTGGACGCCTGGTGAACCGAAAAGGTCTCCAAATCTGTGCCCAGCCTTGCCTGATAGTCCGTGTGCCATATGATGAAGTTTAGACAAGATAAGTCAGACAGCCCACACACAAACACACAGGCACACTGGATCTAGAGACATTCCTTGCATGGAAACGCAGTTGGTGACGGGTGTTCTGAGCAAAGCAAACACTTGCACAAATTATTTTTTTGCAAAAAAACCCACGGTCTTTGCTGCATGATCCAACAAAACCGTGACAATCAAAAACTCATCTGTGCCAAGCTGCATTTGCGGGCGGCCTCAGAATGTTTTTTGAATCAAGGTATGATTCACCGGTGGTCTTCATTTAAAATTCCAATTTGCAAACAGCTCGCGGTTGGAGGGCTCAAGTGGAAATGACAGCAGATTTTGTTGCGAGGGGGCCATGAAATTGCCGTGCCCAAGCTAGGTGTCTGTCGAGTTGCGGTCGAGTGGTCCATCTAGTCTTTTAATCCCTTTTATCAATGTGTGTTTCATGGACATTGCCTACCCGGCCTCCTGTTCATGCCAACAGCATTTGACCCATTTTGCAGTCTCCCTGATTGACATCTGTGAACTCTTCCCAGCAGCATGACATTTTAGCTGTGAGTGTACCTGCGTTAATATGCACTTGTGCCTGAGTGAAGAGACACTGCGTGTATGTATGTCATGTCATGTAATGTAAAGTAATGGTATGGTAATGGTAATGGTAATGGTAATGGTAATGGTAATGGTAATGGTAATGGTAATGGTTGTATGTATGTATGTATGTATGTATGTATGTATGTATGTATGTATGTATTAATGTAATGTAATGTACTGTAATGTACTGTAATGTAATGTAATGTAATGTATGTAATGTATGTAATGTATGTAATGTATGTATGTATGTATGTATGTTATGGTATGGTATGGTATGGTATGGTATGGTATGTATATGTATATGTATATGTATATGTATATGTATATGTATATATATATATGCGATTAAATGCGCGTGCATAGGTATGTGTATGGGTAGGTTGAGGTTGATCTATGTGTTTATATATTACACTATACTACATTACACTACATTACACAACATTGCACTACACTACACTGCATTGCGTTGTGTTGCATTACACCACATTACATTACATTACATTACATTGCATTGCATTGCATTACATTGCATTACATTGCATTACATTGCATTACACGCTGGATAAACATACATAGACACTACACATGTATGTGCAAATTCTATCAATTTTCACATTTTTCACATAGCACCTAGGTTCTATTGTTATCTATTGTTAAAATAATCAAAGAAACCAACTGCACAGCCCCATTGGAAATCTGCCCAGCGTCGCTCCAAGTTCCAGGAGATGACCGTCACTGGAGTTCATACCCTCCGGAACGATGCACATGTTGCTCATAGCCAACCTCTGGACATTTCATGACATTTTCACAACATTTCAGGATCCCAGGCAAGGTTAACCATGTTAACCCACAAGGAATCAATCTCGTTAGTAAATGCTAGTAACACAATGTAACACATACAAAGTGCAAGGATCTCTGAACGAACAGGCATAAAAACACCGGCGTTAAATTTATTTGGGGGTGGGACCCTTGTGGGCAAAGCCTTGTGGGCAAAGCAGGGACACACTGGCAATAAGAACAATGTCGCATTTATATACATGGAATTGCTACAGTTTTAACATGTGTGTGGATATGAATGTGTGCCTTTATCCCAATGGATATGCAAGATTATGTAAATACAGTAAGTCTACCTGAATTTGCATCTAATGAGGCTACCAACCATGATGTTAGAACCAAGGAGGTGTGCATGGCATCGTCCGGTTCACATGGCCTTCAGTGTCGTATTCTTTGACCGGTGCTATCAACATCGCATGTAACGATAATTCTGTGGCAAATTTGAAATCGGCGTCATGTGTCTGAGTTGGAAACGAAAAAGCTGCAATGCTGGTCGTTTGTTCATGAAATGCTGGCAGGCTGGCGCCTGTGCTGGTCTGTTGAGACTCTGCGACTCCAGGCAATTTTGTGCCGCCAATCGCTATCCGCGTTGCCCTTGACAGCCCTCGTACACTCTGGATTCCCATGGATTCCCCAAATGTGTATCAGTCATCCTCTTATTTAGTCAACGCCTCACCGCTTCCTTTGTCTTTTTCAAGCTTTTTGAATCTTTTAGCCTTCAATTTGTTCAGATAACGTGTTGTGGAAGGGTCTGGGCACTCACCAAGGCCAAGGTGCTCGAAGTTGCTTGGTGGCAATGCGCGATTCACCTGCAGCCAAAAATATCCAAAAATCCTGTGGGAATGTTTGGGGCACTGTTCAGAACTGCTTCAAATTAAGTGGGACCTTCGCATAGAATGTGGCAGTGCTTCTGAGATTGATCAGACTAGTTACAAACCAGAGATGGTCCTGAAATGGCTAGTGGGGATTCTTATTCACGAATGCAAAAGTGCCATCTTGCTGGATATTTCAACGTCATCCATTTTATTCATTTTTATTCCCTGTCATACATTCGTCGCGTTGGCTCTGACGAGCCTTCACTGGTCTAAGTGAAGCCCAACGGAAGCTTGCCACGCCCCCGGCTCCGAGGTCTCTGGATCCTCCCTGCCCCTGCCACCAGCTGGCACCAGCCTGTACCAAATCTAAAAGTGGCCCCCCGCTGTAGCCGTTGATCACTGCCTTCCTGTGTTGCGGAGCTCTGGGGAAGAGAACTCCACTGACACTGCCATGTGGAATTGGATCAGAGTTGTGATAGATCTATATGGATCTCACATTTTCTTTATCAGGACAGACTCAGAATACTTATACAGCTTGCTTCGATCGAGACATTTTCCCTTACATTTCAGCCTCTTAGACAGTTGGACCGAATTTGCAGATGGACCAAAGCGAGAACTACACAAAAGGTCACCATGCAAAACAAGCCTTGCGCACAGCATGCTTTTACCAAATGGCACTGGAGCAGGGTCTTGGCCTAAAGACGCCTCAAGAAAGTCTAAAGAATGTCCTGTACTGGATTTTTCAGCAAACACTGCACGCGTTTAGGCCGCATAGACCACATAAAGCTGATCATTTCTTTGAGATCGATTGACAGCATCATCGGCTTCCTTTCCACATCCAAGACTCCACATATTGGCCGCCGTAGTCAATGATGCCATATAGCTCTGGGGGCAAGCATCCTGCCAGAGATGCAAACCTGAAGCTGCAAAGGAAGTGGATCAAAGGACCAAGCCAGAACATCCCGTTATCCGGATTGCATCAATCATCCAAGTGTCTGAACAAAGGTTGAGTGCATACCTTGATTCACTCCATGAACTGATACACCTGCTCAATCCAAGCACCCTGTGAATCTTGTCTGCTAGCAACTTCTCAAAACCTCCTAGTGTCTTCGGATTGGCAGGGATGCAACTGCACCGTCACTTCTTCAATTCAAAGCCGTACTGTGCCAAAGTGCTGCTAGACTGAAGTCCAGAGGAGGAGTAGGACACTCCAGGGTGCATCAGGCTCCTGCTAATCAGCTTTCCGGCGAATTGGAAGGTTGCCAACATAAGCACGATACCTTTGAGACCAAACTGCAACCGCCTTCAATTGGTAATCCCACTGAGTGGATATTAAGTGGATGCATCATATCCAATTCACAACTGCTTAGTGCAATATCCCCATTTCTTCCTGTAGCTTCTGTTATTTCGACGACGAAACACAACCAGTTATATACCATGCTGGGTATTATCAAGTAAGTACTCAGATCATGGCTTGATGCGTAGAACTTGGCACGGAAATTTGCGAGCTCTTTGAAGAGTCATAGGTTTTAGGATGTTTTAGGAAGTTAGACAGTTCAAAGGATGCGTCATGATGCGCCTGTAGAACATCCCAAAATGACAGGAGATCAATGGAGATAACGAATCAGGTCATTGCAGACTGACTACCCTCCTGGCGGCGGCAGCGAGCCGGCAGTCCAGGAAGGACGCCAAGGAATCCTGGATGCATCAAACACTTTGACAAAAGGAGCAATGTTCATTGCAATGTGAGGCACAACCGTTTCAATTCAGAAATTGTAACCATACTCGAGCAAGTTTAGCGCCTTTGAAAAATGGCTGAGAGTCCACTAACATCCTCAGGGCTTGACTGATACATGAGCCAGTGAGAATAGCCAAACACTCAGCTTGGGATCCTCTTATATATATATATCATATTTAGATTACAGATTATTTATGTATACATATGTATATATATACATTACATTACATTACATTGCATTGCATTGCATTGCATTACATTACATTACATTACATTCGTACATAACATAGCATAACATAACATAACATAGCATAACATAACATAACATTACATACATACATAGACAGACAGACAAACAGACATAGTTACATACATACATGCATGCATACATTCATCCATTCATTCATTCATACATATGCAGATAATTGCAGATATATGTATATAAATAAAGTCATTTATTATCTTACGATGCCCTTCGACTCTCCTCAGCTTTGTCGGCGATAGCGCCATGCAGAGATGGATATCTTTCTTGGAAATCAATTCATCTGTAATGTATTTAAGGAACAACTCCTGCAAGAGCTTTCGGATCATTCCTCTCTAACACAATGGTACAAATGGTACACTGGGATGCGATTTTTTTACAGCAAGTCGGCATTCAGCCCTTGGGTTGGCGCTGCAGGGCCAACTTTTGATTCCCGCACGTGCCCTGACCGCAATGCTGCTGCGCGTCCATGAAAGCTTCTTCTTGACGGAGTGGCACTTGCCAGTCGGAGGAAAACTGCTGACAGTCGCCCTCAGATTTCCTCGGCAGTCGCTGGCCACAACTAGAATCAATGTGGAGGTGAATTTTAGACCTGCAAAAGACTTGACAGATCTTTACAGTCTCTCCAGGATGCACTCCTGCACTATCACCCGTGGCCGACGGAAACCAATGACAAATACGTTCAAATACGTTCAAATGCTTGTCTAGACATGTCTAGGTATTGCACTGAATTGGAGATTAAGTAAGATAGCTTTGCTGTGTGGCTATAGATACGATCCAGAACCTGCCACCCCTGTTGCTGTAGAAGCGAAGAAAATCAAAGAACCAATACGAGCAGCGAACTACAATCCCATAAACCTCAACAAGGCTGAATGCTCTCAGCAAGCAGCAAGCGATTGCAGAAGTATTGCACCTGAGTGCTTAAGCTGGGGTAGCGATGATAGCTTCTTGCCAATATCTTCAACAGATGAGTTTGGTTCTAGAAATGGTCTCTTGCATGCAACGAACTTTTATGCTATTCTACTGGACTGATGCCACGTTCAACCATCGTTAAGTACCCTGGTGACTTTTTGGTAAGGAATGGTGCCGCAAGCCTGCGCCTCGCTTTGTACAGGATTGTGCTTACAACAGCAGTTCCTCGTCTCAGTTGAATGTTTGAATTGCAACATTTACATGCACTATCATGCACTTATATACCACCATGTCATTTTGAATACGCATGCATACACCAAGTGCCCACCCAGGAAAAGACAATCAAACCTTGATCAGGAAACTCATCGCGAAGGTTGTTTGAACCAGTGCAAAAACGGAATCAGCAAGCACTACTGTTTAGTACTGAAGTACTGGCAAGCAAATATTACCAATGCCTGTGCTCTAGTCGACAAAGAATACTGAGACATACTAAGACATCAATATCGAGGCAGACCAATGCTGCCGCTGGCGCTCGAACCATCTGGGCATATGCAGGGTATCTGCAGAGCAGAACTTGCTGCCCACGTTTCAGCAGCATCACGTTGCCCACGCAGGCCTCATGCCAAAAATATGCAAAAAAAATCAAAAACACCCAAATGAGGAGTTCATAAGGATTTCAAATGATTTCATATTGATTTAATGGATGCATTCGGCAATACATGCCGACAACCACAGCTGCTACAGCCTTTGAAATTTCACCGACAAGCACAAGCTTGACAAAATTGACAAAGGTTTCATTCAATCAGAAAGCATTCAATCATTTTCATAATTTTGTGCTTCAACATCAGTGCAGTCGTCATCTCATGGTGTTTTGCTTAACCGATTCGGATGCTTAACCATTGGGACAAGATGCCACGACGTCGCCCAACTCAGGGTGAAACTCCTCACCCACCTGGCTCGGGGGCTTTTCAGGTGTAGCCTTTTTTTATGGCATCCCATGGCATCTGGGGATACACATGCGGGTTTTCATATTGGTTACCATCTGGTTATTTAACATGGAAAATCACCACTTTTTTTTTTGGTAAACCATCTATAAATGGGTCATTTTCCATGGCTATGATAAATAACCAGATGGTAATTGTTAATTCCTCCGAGGACATGAAATTTTTCGACATCCGCAGGACATCGGTCGACTAAGGCGTGGGCAAGTACCGATCCACCAGAGCCGCACATGGCTGCTACCCGCCAACTGGGTTCGCCTGCCGTGGTCACTTTAACAGAGACCTCACCACTGTCAGACTTGAGGTTAAACTAACATCGAATAACTACAGTAAATATCAGTAAATTACAGTAGTAACGGACAGTAACGGTGTAGTAACTTCCCAACTCTACTTTTTGTATCTTTTTGTCCCTCAACACCCCCGCCACACAAGCAATTGTCCAGCACAAAAGAAACTCGAACATGTGTAGACAAAAAGGGTCCAACATGTCAGGCAGGTTTCCATTGTCATACATTCAAATTCCAAGCAGGAAGAAGGTGAGGGTAAGTCTCATGACCACACTCCTTGACTTGGTGTACGTGGACTTGATTCTACCAGTGAATAGCTATCAAACAGTCGCTCGGCAAATAACGTGATACCCTCCGTGGGCTAGGAGGCATTCTGGGCTCAAAGAGTGAACTTTCTTCATGTGTCGTCACTGACCGAAGAAAAACACTGCCACTTCGCCTGTAACAGCCATTTCATGGCTGGAGGGCACTGGAGAAGCATCCAGGATTGTTAACCTCAGAAACTCCCTATTGGAACTTACAAAATCTTACAAATGCATACAAATACCATCAAGAAACCCTTGCATTTTTTCCTAAGGTCTCCAACTTGTTTTTCCCAATTAGCGCTTCTGTTCATCCGTGGACCACGAAATTCCATGGAAAAAAACACAACGATCAAAGGCTTTGTTGGGGATTCCACCCCGTCCCTAGGCCGGAGCCCTACAAAGGGTGCAGAAGTGCAGGAAAAGGATGGAAGAGGATGGAGGAGAGCAGATACAATCGAAATAAATCGAACTTCTGATTAGAACTTTTATAGAACTTTTATAGAACCGTGAAAGATTCACAGCGCAAGATTTGTCTGCCAAGTTGCGGTGCAGACGACCCTCTGGTCGCCCCGCGGCCGACGATGTCCAGCGATTCCACTGAGTCCAGGGACTCTCGCCGACTGCAGGGCAGACAAGGTGCAAACCCACGACAAATCGAATCTATGATAGTCCAAGGGGGCAAGTTTTCTGGATTTATTCTAGGAGTGGCAGTGTGGAACTTAGAACAGCGCGTGAAGGATCATGAATAGATAATATAGATATGAATAGACGTACTTGGCCGCAGCCACAAGCTACGTTGGTCTAGTATGGTCAAGCTTGGGAGCGCTGGCAAGGAATTCACATGAATTCACCATAAACAGTGAAGCGGTTGACCAGCTATGCAAATTCTGTCAAACTTAATTAAGATCAAGGACCGTCCTTTTACTGACATGGACCCTACTTCGACATACTTCAACAGCACAGCAAAAGAGTCTCGGGCCCATTGTGGTTGGAGGGTATACCTAAAGGCTGAGGTAATGTACAGTATCAATGTCCACTGTGCTCAACCCAGGAATGAAGGCCTCAAGGACAAGTGTTGCTAGGGACATGTGCGTTCTCGACGAAAAAAATCACAAGACAAGAACCCCCACACAAAAAAATTAAGCCAGGATGTATACAAACAGAACGCGGAAATGGAATCATCAAAATGTGGATATTTACTGGCATGGTCCGCTCTTCTACGAGACTTTTAAACATGCGTGCTGGTTCGACCAATCAAACAAACCTCTTGAAACCCAGCACCAAATACACCAAGCGTAGGTCCATGCTCAATTTCCAAGCTAGGATTAAAATCCATAGCCTCTGTTCATTTTTGGTGGACGTGGAAACTTGACGTAAACGTGCGTAACCGTAACCGCAACATACGACATACTTTAGACTCTCCCTGTTCCACGGATCCAGAAGCAGGTGCCCACCTAAACTCTCTAGGATCTGTTTCTCGTGGTACTACATCAGGTATCCTCAGCTGCTTCGGATGAAGAACCGGAGGTCAAAAACGTCAGACTTGATTCCGGCAGATCTACTGATGCTATTCTAACTTTAAGCAGATTGCGTTGACATGAGTTCTGTAGGGCTGAAGAATGTGCCAAAAAAGAGACATAGACACCGCTGGATTTTTATCTTCTTGTGGCTGGGGCTAAAAATTGTAGTAGCATTGACCGGTTAAGCAAAATCACGCATGTATCTTCATCGACTGAACACAAACAGGCGCCGAAAGAGGCAGTCGACTGACTGGAGTAGCGTCTGATGGATTGCAAAGTGAGACGTGGCCTGAAACCCTGATTGAATGCTATTATTCTGCAGTGGGAACAGGGGATGTGAATCATCCACGGTGATAAGTTTATAAATTCCTGACATTGTATATGGAAATGAAACTGGGCCATTGCTCAAGCTGCATCAATAACATGTAACATACAATTATGTATATATATATATAACTATATATAAAATGATATATATATATATAAGATTATAAATATATATATATATATTATATAGTTATATATATAATTATATATACACGGTTATATACACACCTTAGCCAGGTTTAGCAGCGCTTGAGGCTTCGGCCGTACATCGGATGGTTCTGAGGAAAGTTAATGTTTTGTGTGTATGTATATACAATTATATACATACTACACATATATGTAAATGTATGTGTATATATATATATGTATATACATATATAATATATTGTTACTTCGCAAATTTATTTCATACCATAGCTTTGGCTCACACCGCAGGTGAGCGGCAAGAATGGTGCCCACTGGCTAGAAGCCTGCTGGTTGCGCAAGGCCTCTTCCTTTGCGGGTCTGAGGGATCCTGCCACAAAAAGACCATTGGGCATCTCTCAAAGAAGGAGAACAAAGCAACGAAGGAAACAACAGAGACAATAGCAGCTTGCAGCCTGGAGTACGCGGAGTCCTCCGATGGCTTTCTCATATGTCCATGACAATTCATTCAACAAGTGGAGGTTTCTACACACCCCTCCAGGAGGCTACTTTCCAAATCATCATCCCGCATCAATCCAAGGTAGCGTAACATATTGTAACATGACATAACATCATGTAACCACAAAATGAAAGCAATATATAGCAATATGGCAATATTTTCAGCAAACTGGTCTGAAACTTTTCCGGGTCCGATTTCCACGCCTTGAGCAGGTACCCTGTTTGGGATATACTCCACCAAGGCGTCCGATCTGATGGACCTCACTCATGAATATGTTGGCTGCAAGAAAGTGGATGACATATGACACAAAGTCGTACAACATAACAGTACCATACAGTACCATACAGTACCATACAGTACCATTGGACCATACAGTACCATACAGTACCATACAGTACCATACAGTACCATACAGTACCATACAGTACCATACAGTACCCACGTATAATCATTATAAAATTATACATTTCAAATAATATTTCAAATATTTTCAAATCATGTTTCCCCAACATTTGCCATCAAAGCCGTCAAATACTAATGCAGCATTTCGCATCGTCATGACGAGGGTAACAACATGACATTTTCTTTCACCCACATGGCTCGTACTCAGGAAAAACAAAAAACTGCAAAATGCATCCAGATATATCCAGATGCACCCTGGGAGTCCTGACGCTTCGGAGGTTAGCTCTGGGCAGTCCTCAGAACCTCGACTTCAATCGACTTCAGGTATGAAAGGCCAAACAAAGAACCTCTGTGTTTGACCCTTCAAAGAAACTTATCAGATCTCGCCCAAACCGTTTGACTTATTTGACCAGCATTTCCCCCTGGGAGCCGTGCGTGACACACCAGGAAGTGTTTGGGCAACACAGGAAGCCTGTCACACAAAGGCACGAGTAGGATGATGTGGGAGGTAACACATTTTTAGCTAGAGGACTAGTAGAGTAGAGGATCTGCATCCACATCATCGTGTAGTCACAATGCAACTGCCAGCCCAAGAAACCATAGCACCAAACGGTTCATTGCACTCAGTATTCCGGATACCACTCAGAAACAGTGCTTCCTTGTCGCCACCCTCAAATACTTGTACATCCCAGATAGGGCACCGATACAACGGAGAAAAAATGTCCCAGTGAAGGACAGGAAAAGCAAGGATTATTCAAAAGGACCGGAAGTCAAATAATCTCACAGTGCCCCACCATCACAATGGCCCCATATTACATCCCATATCCCTTTCAGCCATTCAGTCATTCCATGCCATTTCCTTCTCGCCTTCGAAGCCTTCACTGGTCCACTCGGAGAAAAAACAGACGGGCGGCCAGTTGGAAGACCCCAAAGCATCCTGGCGTGGCCATGTGTGGCCATACGTGGCCACGTGTGGCCATCACATCACGATGGGAAAAGCGTCGCTCATCGAGACTGTTTCAAAGTTTGGTTCCCAAATCCAGGAATGCAAAGTTCTGCTGCTGCAGCAGCTAATATGTCAGAATAGCTGCTCAGAGATGAGAAGTTATCTGCTGCCAAGTTTCGCTGAATCGGACCGGGATCGGTCAATCAGCCGCGTTGCCACGCGTGCTGTGTGCGAGAGCCCAAGAAAAAATGGTGCAAAATGTCCAGCAGGCAACATGAACATGCAATTCTCCGAAAAGATAACCACTAATTGCAACTCTTAGGGATTCTCCCATGGATGCCCTTTTAAATCCTTTTAAATGAGACAAACAGTCCTTAGTGGTTGATCGCTTCTATTGCAGATCTACCTGTAGTATACATATATTATGTACAGCATGTAATTTCACTGCCGTGCAGCAAAGGCAGATAATATCTGCCTACTGTCCGCACTTGTTCTCTTGTGGCCTGAATGCCTTTATGACACAATTATGTAATGGTGCTGAGTATTTCGCTGAAAAGGAAGATCTGTTGGCCTTTCTATTTTCTGTCTTGAGGCAACATGCCCACAACAGGCTGGTGATGGCTGGTGACTTCAATTTTCTGCCTTCAGAGGCTCTGGCCCAAACCACGATAACTTTCTTGTTCAGATCTTTTTGCATGGAGTGGATTCGCCATCCATCCCCAGTTTTTGGGGATCCAAGCTGAGCCCGCTCAAAGCCCAAGTGTTGCTCTGCAACGAGCACTGCAGTCTCACTCAATAGCAATGTACCTGACGCATCAGTTGCACGGAAACACCTGGAAATCTCTGGCAGTTGAAAAGTGCGTGCAAAACCGTGCAGATGGATCTCTGGGATGGGGATAAGTGCAGCAAGTTCCAGAAACAAGTAAACTGAAGGCTTCTGGCATCTTCTGGCTTTGATACTCCTTCTTGAACTTGAAATCGAAGCAATTAATTACGTAGCTAGTCCCATATGTCCCATTAGCTATTCTGCTACACAACATCTGTGGCCCATCCGCATCATCCGAGGAAACGCCCATTCTGAGTTGGCACTAGTCCCAACGGATCCCAACGGCACACCTGGTTGCCAGCTCGTCGCAAGCACCAGCTTCACGTCGCCAGTGCCAGGGGAAACGCAACCAACACGTCGAAATTTGAAGACTGCAGCCACTGCAGCCACTGCATAAGCCTCTTTGGCGGAGGCTCTGAGTGGCTTGGACACACTTCGGCACACCCTTGATGGATGTCACACGACAGAGTATTTCCGATGCTGAGGGAATTAACACTTTTTTTTGGACACTGAGAGAGCACTTCAATGCAATCTAAACCCTTTTGCCGTTTATCATGGGCGAACAAATTGTTGACTTCACCATGTCAACGCGATTCAACGATCTACAAACTGCCAAATAACATCCGTTGCCAAAATACATTGGATTGATGTGTTCTCACCCTTGAATTTAGTAGAAGGCTTCGGTCCCAAGAACGGCCCTCAAACTTGAAGGGAAGAACTGAGGTTTTAGTCGTGGGATTCGCCACTTGCTATCCCTGGAACGTTTCAATTTCCCAGCTTTCAATCTGATACCTCACCCTCGGGCTAGATCTAACAAGTTTGCGACTGCATTTGGCACGGCAAAAAAAAAGCATTGTGACCCGTATCAAAGCCTCAATACACTCTTTGGGTCTGGAATTCAGAGAACTGCACCACTGATATCACTGAGCAAAGAAGATTGGGACGTTGAATAGAAAATAATGACAATAAATAAATAATAATAATATTAATAATATTAATAATAATAATATTAATAGATATCCATCCAAGTCACCTTTCAGCAACTCTGCAATGGGCCATTCATCTGAGCTCCACGACCTTTGCGACGACTGAGGAAGGATGTTTGGAAGGCATCTGCGAGGAAGCATCTGAACGAAGACGGGGGACAATTTCGCAAATCTACCGCATTACACAATTTCATCATATTTCATTTACATTCTCCATACTGTAATTTCTATGTAACAGCAACTCAGACTCTCTTGAGTGAGCCGTCATCAGCGCCGGGGCCATTCTTTCAGCCAAGGCGCACAACGCAGTAGGCTGCCAGCAAGGGTGCCGGGAGATAAATAATGCTCAACCTAAACTGCTGTGTAGGATCTCTGGAATCAACCCAGAGCCCAAACAAGGAAGACTGGACACCCCTAAATCTATCCACTGTGGATGAATGCCTTCAGATCATGCAGGAAAAGAAGTTTTCTCACCTGATGGAAAATCAAAACACTTGAGCACTGGCAAAGTTCACAGTGGTGGAGGACCCATCGATGAGTTTTTGATGGGATTTGTTTTGGAAATGCCTGCGCCAATTTGATCCAATTTGTGGATCCACAAACCGCCTGTAACTGAAACAAGACCCAGTTTCTCCCAGACTTGAAAAGTATGCCAGCATATGCCAGCTGCATCTAACTTCTGCTAGTTTGCTCACCCCTGGGGCACACACAGCACAAAAATCCAGACCCATTGGTCCCAGTAAGTCCTCACCTCAAAACGTGTGACGGAATAGTGTCTCTGTGTCTGCAGGAAGAGTATGGACAGATCACATAGTCATCTTGCAGGCTTTACAAGTACTGTCGTTTGTAGTTTGCTGCAAACAATTCACATCAAACGTGCGTTGGCTGTGCAGCTGCCTGCTGATTAAATTGCAGGGAGCGTACCCAACTATACCTTTCAGTTTTCAACTATGACAATGACTTCCAATGACTTTGTTTGGCCCCAAGACTACCCCAAACGTCGTGTATCCTTTGATCGGCGAAACTTAGAACATTTGGAAGTTGAAGGATCGGAATGTCTATGTGTGTGTGCGTCTGTCCATGAAGGAAGGTGATGATGGAACTTTGTCGTGATGGTGGTGGTGGTGGCGGCAGTGGTTTTGCTGTGAAGTTCTCATTCGAAAGATAAACCCGGTCATCCCCGGTCCATCCCATTCCTTCAAATCACCATCCAAACTTGGAATATTCATGAAGATTCCCTTTTCTATTGGGGTTGTTTGCCACTGGATAATTCATATCATTCCATAGTAACCATAGTATCTATGCCTCCGGGTCTCCGGGCCTCCTGAGGATCCTTGGAAGAGGGGCCATCGGTGATGTCTTGTGCCATGCTGCGGTCTTCGCTTGGGAATCGAAGACAAATATATCAAATATTGACTTGCAAGTAACATGATAAGTAACACAGTCACTCCTTTCTGCAGATATTGTGGATGCTGTTGATGAATGGCATGACTTGACTCAATGTCATCCGCTTGGCGGTCACCGCCCAGCACAACAAGACGAAGGGCTGTCAAAATTAATACAGACTTCTGCTTGTTTGACATTTCAGATCGTTTCAGTGTGTGTGTGTGTGTTGACCTTCGCTAATATGGATGACATCGTCACTCTTTGGGCAAGACAATGTCCACATCATCTGAGATCCCCAGGCCACCATCCACACAAGCGGAGCCATCTCTCCACGGTCGTTGCTGAAGTCCAAACCACCCCAGCCTTGGCACAGGAAATCAATGGAAATCATATTCGGTTGATTTCGGTTGTATCCCAACCCAAGTCACATTGTGTTTCCGAGGCCATCTTTGCCTGGGTATAGGTATACGGATGTATACGGTATACTGGAATCCAGACTTAATCTTCGTCGGAGGCGGACCAATGTGAAAAGCATGTACTCTCCATACTCTATACCGCTGCGTCGATGTCAGGTAGGCGCAGCTAGCGATGTTTCTTGGGACACTAAAGCGGTCTGAAGTGAAACATGGGGAATAACGTTAATGGCTTGTTCGGTGCTGAACCTTCCTGTCAGATTTTGCAACTACAAACCAGTACAAATGTCCAACTCCCTACATTGATTGCCAACGACATTGCTTTACTAACATGAACCGTTATTGAATGAAAATCTCTGCTTCACCCATGCCTTCTCCTTGGGAAAACGATCTACAAAATGGATAACTCATGGATTCTTTTTTTTCAGAGAACCCAACGTTTGCAAACTGGAAAATACCCCAACTAAATGGAGGTTCATAGCTGGGAAAATCATCTAGGACTATCTAGGTGAATGGAAATCTCATGGTCATTATACTTTGCAATCCATGGGTCCTTCGTTGCCTACTTGGCCTACTTGGCCTTTCCACATCTTTCCACGACAAAATGCGATCTGGGCTGCCTGACTCGTGGTGACCGACAGATTTTTTGCCAGGTCCTCAGACAGCTGAGTCAGCTGAGTTGCTATGTGGACACTATGGGAGTTGTGTTGGGAGTTCGAGTTATTCTTCTCCACTTTGTTGGTGCACAAAATTCCAACGATTTCCAAAAAGAGTCTATAAGATTCTATAAGCTTCATTAAGCTTCTATGAGTCTACGAGTTTCATGTTTCTGTAAGTTTCAAACAAAACTTCTTTATGCTTCTTCGTATCTTAATGTTTCTTAACGTATCTTGATGTTTCTCACAGAATCTCATGCTTGCAGGAAAGAGGCGCTTCTATGAATCTCGCGCAGACTTTGCAAGTGCAAGTGTCTGCCATTTTCAGCTTCAAAAGGTTGCTGCTAATTACACCGTCATGATACATCTTGAACTTATTGGAGTGCTATATTTACATAATAATACAAAATGTATATACTAAAAGAACTGTCAAACGAGTCCATGAAATCCTCAACTGAACCACTCTTGAAAATAGCGTGCCCAATCCAAACACTCTCAACCACAGAAATCCAATCTGCTCTGTGGGACAGGTCTCCACTTGATACGGGTATATGTTAATGCAATACGGTCGCGTGGTGTCTGTACACTCCCAGGGTTCATGACCAATTATGATCATGTGATATCACATGATATCATGTACATTCAATCATTACATATCATTACTGTATATGGCTGTGATAAATAGTAACATAGTGAGATACTAATCGCTAGCATTACCTTGCCACAGGTCAAAGTGCATGCCAGGCAGCATCTAAGAGGCCGCCAAGTTCTTGGTTGGCTCTCTGACAGAAGCGATCTCGAGCATCTGGCCCTGCCTCGAGATGCGGGATTCAATGGTACTCACTTAAAAAAACTATTTTTGAGGCTTGCCAGGACATCATGCTGCCGTTCAGCCACAAGTTCAGTTTCAGCACTCAGCGCTAGCATGCTCACACGATCCGACATGTGTGCTTTCAAGGGAGGCAAAAAGAAACGAAAGATAACGAAAGACAACGAATGCTTTCAACATGCGAGAATAACGACACTTTGAAATGGTTTTCACGTCTCACTTACAATGTGTTCTTCGGCACCGAATGATCAACAACATGATACAACATGTATAGATATATATATAGATCAGTATAGATCCTTTTTGTAGAGACATGTAGAGACACTATGCTAATCATTGCTAATCGATGCTACAAACCTCGCCCGGAGCCGGCAAGTTGCGCATTTACCCTGCGTCAGTCTCATCAGGGAAAGCGCCTTGGCAACAGAATACAGGGAAGGTCCGGGAGGGTTTACATACAGAGATATACAGAGTCAGGAAGTGGAACCATATGGAACCGTTCATGGAACATCATGGAACCATGTGAGATCATGTGAGGCTGAGCCACTCAAAACATGACATTGCGCCCTCAAGGCACATCCACATTGCTTGGATTCCCTGCGATACCACAAAGGTTGCCATCACCTGACATGTTGGCAGAAGGTTTCGCAGACATCCCAGGATTCAGAACAAATCGTCACTTCTGCAGTCTGGGAACAAGCATCCTAGCTTCTGAGCTGAATTTGTGACCTGCTGAGACTGACATCACTCCATAAACATGAGAAAGAAGTAGCGGCTAAGAACATTTCTACAAGATTGTAGGATACTAGCAATATGCGATACAGCAGACCTATTTCAATTGCAGCCGTTTTTGTCTCGCATATTTTCTTTGCACAGTTTCACAAGAACCCTTTCACCCACGCACATTCAAACACACAAAGACAATCCATGTCGTGTCGCAACCAAGGGTTTCCGGTGCTTCAAATGATGTGTCTCGTCTGCCTTGTCGACAACCCTTGAAGTTTATCCTGATGGATGACACTCACTGGATTCCACTGGCAAAGTGCCAGAAGGTGGGTGGCGTGGGATCAGTGTATGTCCATCACTTCAAGGCTATCATTGCTTCTCATATTCCAAATGAAGGGTGTCATTGCAGCATATTGCAACATGGTCTGGTACTGTCTGCATACTTCACCCTTTCGGGAGAGGATTGATTGTAGGGACTGGGCCAATGTTGTTCGTCAGGCCAAGCAAGTTAGCGTGCATGTTGTGTCTTCAAAGCACGTCTGCACATGAAAGACGTGCAAAGGACACCTGCTTAAAAGAGGAAATTTGCATGAGATCGTACTGTTGACGTACTAATACAGGTATTCAAGTTTTTCGTTTCTGCCAGGTCCATGTAAAAGTACCATGGAAGATCTGAGAATTATTCCTGTCCTGTCGCTCTCAGGAGAAATCGCCCAAGCACACACGTCTTTGCAACCTGATCCATGAATTGAGAAGTCAAAGTTTGAAACCTCATGCTGCAAGCACTGTTTTCCCTTCAAAAAAACATCGCTCACAAGACTTCTATGCTGAAGGGAGCTAAATCGGCGGAAAATTGGGAAGAAGCACTCTACGGGCCTTCACTCCTGTTCTATGTTTTTTTCAAGCATTGATTCATATTCTTTCATGTTTCTGCCCAGAAGACTTGGCTCGAATATGCTCAATTCGTTCTACAGTTCTACATATTTCCAACATTTTCCAAACACTTCCACATTGCGCTTGTTTCTGATCCAGTCTAAATGCTGGGTCGCTCCGACTCGAAGTGGGCTCGCCGCAGCGCAGCACAGGCTCAACGTACAGCCTAAGCCGCTTTGAGACTTCAAACGACCCCGATCGCAGCATATCCAACACATCTCTCTCGCCTTTGTTTTTGCTATGTTTTGGAAGACTTTCCGATAGTAAACCTATGTAAACCAAATCGATCAATTTCACAGAGATATGCTGTCAAACAAATCATGCTGTTGTAGGTGATCCCCTCCATGTCCGCTTTCAATCCTCGAAAAACTCGTCTGTTTGGACAATATTGCTTTGATCCGCCCTGGCAATCTACATGCTTCAACAATCTTTATGCATGTGAGATTGCAAAACTACGCCGAGGCTGCACCAAACCTGATATCACAGATTATCACAGTATCTGGTAGTCACAACCATTGGAGGCATCGGAAAGCCTAGTTGAATTGCCCGATCAAACCGTCAATCATGCTTTTTAGCGTTGTAGCTTCTGCACATGACATGCTTCCTAAGATGGACTGTTGGGTAGAAACCTCGGGGAAAACGAGAACAAATGTGGCAAGGACAGAAATGCAAATGAACCACGCAGGCTGGGAGCCCTCACTGGCAAGGATACCAGCCTCAGCACCGAGTTTGTTTTCGTAAATGCAGTCGTCACTGGGTGTGTAGCATCTCAAGCCCTACGGCAAAATGAACACCTCCCGAAAGCAGCTTCAGCCGGTTTTGCTTCATCGCTTCTGAAGGTCTCTCCCTCGGCAATCACTCACTTCTGCCCATGCCCATTCTCGAGCCTTGCTTCCTGCATGATGAAGATCAAGAACTTTGAATTTCAGCTGCACTCAAACCTCCAGCTGGTGAGCCACCCTTGCGGAAAGTTCAGGCCAAGCACGCAAGAGGACACCGGGATTTTCACTCTTGCAAACCAACACTAACAAACGTAACTTTGAAGATCTTTGCAGCAACTATCACAAGTCCAAATCCTCTTAACTTTGAAGCGTCACAAGGGCAATTCCAACTGATCTGCTACGCGGAATTACGCGGCATTTTCTTTCTCTTTTCAGATCATCCCACCGGCATCTGAGGCATCTGAAGCGTCTGAGGCATCTCTTTAGCGTCCCCTTCTGGACCCCAAGATCGAGGCAGATCGAGGCAGATCGATTGTACTGAATTCACCATTGCGTTCGACAGTCAGCTAATGTCACCTGCATCTGGACGTCGAGTCAACTCAGCTGGCCGTCTTGGGTCTCTTGGAATGACGTTCCTGTTGCAAGGCGCTGGGGTGTATATGGGTGCATGATCATTGGACTTGGAGAGTTCCTTGCAAACTTTCTTAACTTCGGTGGCATATTCTGTTGGGATCTTCAAGCAAACTACTTGTGTAAACGCAGGACATTTTTTCCAGCTACACCAAATTTGTATTGAAACGCGAAGTGGCACAACTGAACAACACAGACAAAATCCAACCAAAATTCAAACATGTTCGGAACAGTCAGCTCGGCTTTTGTCCGACCTCCGGCCAAGTGATGTGCAAAATCTCCCGAATGTTTGAAAGGCCATCTTCGATGACCTCCTCCACTGTGACATTAAAACCTCTGCTTCTTGCTGTCGAGGAGAAGGATGCCTCAAACATCTAAAGAATTCTAAAGAACATCTAAGAAACATGTCAAACTTGCTTCCTGTTTGATTTGAGGCAGCAAACATCAGTGTCGATGAATTCAACATGCACTCTGCACCGAAACTTTTACGAACACAGCTCGTCCCAGTGGCTGTACCGCCGCCACAGCCAAAGTAGAAACGTTTGCCCGCGAAGTAAGCATGACCTTGGTTATCTTAGTTGCATGCAAGTGCCATCGGGATCCATCACGCGCTTTCGGCGCCCTTCTGCCCAGCTTCAAACATCGGACGTGGTTGGATTTAGGCCAGAAACGAAAAATTGAGGGCAATCTGGGCTAGATCATGTGCTGAAACACAAAGCTTTTGAGATTCTACTCGTGCCATTCACAGCCATGGTTTGCTGGCCAATTTCTAGTTCCAATTCTTTTCATCAGTCGGATGTGGCTAGTTACTTGACGAACAGCATTGGCTGTTCTCCCAAAATCTTCCTACTTCCAAAGACAAAAGGTACTGTTTGCCGAGAAAAAAATGAAACATTGTGAACGAAGCATCGAATCAAGTGTGGGTCAAGTCTCATATAATGGCAGGCCATCTCTTTGCGTTCCCAGCGACACTCATGGCTTTGACTTGACAGGAAACTCAGCAATTCATCGTAGGACTCCTCCTGCCATGCTGGTAGTTTGGGGAAGCTGTCTATCAAAAGAAAAAATTGCAATATATATTTACATATTATATTTACAGTATCTTATAGTATTAGTAAAATCCGCCGACCTGCCAGCGTGTCTGATTGGAAGGTAAGAAACAGAACCAGAAGAAAGAAGATGCCGGTGCACGAAAAGGTAGAAAAGTCTTTTGTGGCCCACGAGGGTCAACAAGTAGGCTCGCTACAGCGGGTGCGAGCCTACTGGGCAAATGAGAGATCAAAAGTTGCACGCCGCTGTTGCGCGAAGCACATTTCACGAGTCAAAATGCTAAAAGCACACCATTGTCTACCGGAGCACTTTTGAAGTTGTGATGTTCAAACAGTGCACGCCGTCATGGCGCGAAGCACATTTCGAAATCAAAATGCACAAAACGCCTCAGCTTCGGAGCACTTTTGGGAGTTTAGATGTTGAAAAAACCGCTGCGGCGCCAATCACATGTGGAAGTAAAAATCTACAAGGCACCACAGCCTCGGAGCACTTTTGGAGGTTGAGATGTCGAAAAAGTGCACGCCGTTGGGGCGCAAAGCACGTTTCGAAGTCAAAAATGCTAAAGCACAACATGTTCGGACCACTTTTGGACCTTCAATCGTTATTTTGCCTGGCAGGGGCAGTGGGTTCTGCACCTTGCCAAAAGTGAGGGTTTTGTGGCAGTTTCAAAAACAATGGCAGGCGTGGGGCGTTTGAAGAGGATCTGCAAAGATGCATTTCGCGTGCCGTCTCAGTACAAAAGATATGTTCATCAAAGATGTTTGGAGGTCAGGGCGTTGATTTCCTGAGAGAGGTTGCGTTTTGGAGCATTAGATGATTTTGCGTGACAGGTGCAGCACTCTGTGACTTCGTATGACCTGGCATCACTTTTTTGTGGCAGGCAGAGTACTTTAGACAGATGGAGTGGAAAAAACACAAAACGCATTGGCACGAGGCACGACAACGTCAGCTCTGCAGTCAACTTTCCATTTTTGAAGGAAGTCTCGCAGATTTGCTGCGTTTTTGATGTTGTCAACTTCCAAATTTGAAGGAAGCCTCGCAGAAATTCAGAAAAACTTCGTTTTTCTGCTTGCAACATCCAAATTTCAAGGCAGCCTCGCAGAATAGCTTCGTTTTCAAGCTTGCAGAAAGACAGATAGAGAGACAGATAGATAGAAAGGCAGGTAGATAGACAGATAGATATAGCCAAACAGATACAATACCAGTAGTACCGCACAAGGCTGTGGCGGAAGTTTCAAAAACTGGAAACCTATAGGAGAGGTTGCTTGTTGTGACGGATGGCAGAGCGAATCCACTGATGGACGGAAAGGTGGTTGGAGTTATGCTTTTTGGAGTGGTTGCGCGTTGTGTTTTGTGGAGTGGTTGCAATGGTTGGTAGTGCCGGTGGCTAAAGGTGCGATCTGCGCAGCACTGCAGCCGTCTAGCTGTGCTAGTCACGGGACGTACGCGGTGCTAACCTGATCGGCCGGTGCTCTTTCGCTATGCGGTCACTAGGTTGTTAAAGTCAGCACTTGCTACGCAAGTTGGTTCTGCTCTACGGCTCTGTCTTTGTTTCCTCTTCTTCTTCTTCTTCTTCTTCTTCTCTGGTCTTCTGCTTCTCTCTCCAGCTTCCACCCGGCATTCACATCAACCTCCCTGGGGCAACCTCTCTCCGCTTCCGCCCTGTCCCCTTCCATGCAGCGGTCTGCTGTCAAGCCGAAGGCTCACACATAGTACCTGGCGCCACTTTATTGGGGGCGGTACTAATTTGGTATACGGTATACAGATGTATACAGTCAATAGGTTGTTATGCAAGCACTTCCTACACAAGCTGCTTCCGTTTTACAGCTCTGTCTTCTTCTCCTCTTCTTCTCTTCACTTCTGCTTCTCTCTCCGGCTTCCACCTGAGGGCGCACGGCACACTCCCCTGGGCTTGGGCCACCTCTCTATGGCAGGCGGGCTTGCCGCAGGCAAGTAAACCACTAAAAACATACCTTGACTTGACAAGAGCCCCTCCAACCCTTGTTGAATATTTGTTGATTATTCCAACTCCAAATAGCGCAGGGGTCTAGCAAAACAACGGGCCAGCGACTGGGCAAACCACACACGCACACAAAAGCACAAGAGAAACCGCCCACCTTGTAGAAAGCCTCCGAGGCCAGTATTACGTTGTAGCTGAGGTCTGCTTCTTGCACCTTGCCCAAAGTCAAGAGCAACAAATTCAAACTGAACATCTGGCAATTACAAAGGGATGAAAATGACATGCTCACCGCCTTCATTCTTTTGCAATGGCCAGCTGAGAATTTCGAGGACTCTGAGGACTCCTTCAAACAATTGAAGCATGCTCAGACGCGATCAACATACCTGAAAGTCATGTTTCCTGTTTCCCCATCAGCCGATGATCGCAGAGGGATGGCGAATCAGGTGAACTGATTGCTACATCAACTCGCAGCGCTTGAAGCAGCGATTAAACAGCTCGAGAATGCTTAAACTTTGGCTTAAACCTTTTTGGCAGCTTTTGGTACCTGGCATTTTTTGGGAACAAACACTTCACCATAGCCACTGTGGCTGAATTCGGCTGGCCTTGGCCAGTAAAGTGCTCCAATCTCCTGCGAGGAACTGGCTGCCTTGGGAGCACTTGTGTAATCTGCGTCATCACGATCTCGTCTTTCCAATCAGCTTTCACAACGTATCAGAACGTATCACAACGTTCTGCGAGGAAAAATCGCGGAAACCACATCCAAGTGAAAGTCCGTTCTTAACTTATTCATTATACGCATTATACTTTCAATTCATGTCCGTATTTTCTTTTGATGGAAACGCACTCTCGTCCCTTGCTCCTAAGTCTGTTTTTTTTTTTTAGGGTTGTATGAAAACAACCCGAGATAAGCAAAGACCTACATAGTGCGAGGCATTTCTTCCACATGCAAACTAAGAGCCAGCAAATCAAACAAAACACATATCATAAATTGTACGGATTTTTACATACTAAGTAAATCTAAATAACATGAAATAACTACCAGTAGTACCGCACAAGGTGGTGGCGGAACTTTCAAAAATAGGAAACCTATAGGAGAGATTGGTTGTTGTGAATCACGGATGGCAGAGCGAATCCACTGATGGACCGAAAGGTGCTTGAGGTCTCCTCGCTTTCTCTCTCTTTCTCTCACTATCTACCTACCTACCTACCTATCTATCTATCTATCTATCTTTCTATCTATCTTTCTATCTGTCTATCTATCTATCTATCTATCTATATATATCTCTCTCTCTCTCTCTCTCTCTTTCTCTGTTATCTATCTATCTCTCTCTCTCTCTCTCTTTCCCCTTCATCCAATTACCTATCTATCTATCTATCTCTCTCTCTCTCTCTTTCATCTGTCTATCTGTCTACCTGTCTATCTGTCTATCTGTCTATCTATCTATCTGTCTGTCTATCTGTCTACCTGTCTATCTGTCTATCGACCTATCTGTCTATCTGTCTACCTGTCTATCTGTCTATCTATCTATCTGTCTATCTGTCTATCTGTCTACCTGTCTATCTGTGGTGCAGTGTCATTCAGTGTAGTGTAGTTAAGTGGAGTCTAGTGTAGTGTAGTGTAATTAGTGTAGCGTAGTGTAGTGTAGCGTAGTGTAAATGTAGTATTGTAGTTGTAGTTGTAGTTGTAGTTGTAGCTGGTGTAGTGTAGAGTAGTGGAATGTAGTGTAGTGTAGTGGAATGTAGTGTAGTGTCGTGTAATTTAGTGTAGTGGAGTGCAGTGGAATGTAGTTGTGTAGTTGTAGTTGTAGTGTAGTGGAAGGTAGTGTAGTGTAATGTAGTGTAGTGTATTTTAGTGTAGTGGAGTGTAGTTGTGTAGTTGTAGTTGTAGTGTAGTGGAGTGTAGCGTAATGTAGTGTAATGTAGTGTAGTGGAGTGTAGTGAGTGTAGTGTAGTGGACTGCAGTGAAGGTGTAGTTGTAGTTGTAGTTGTAGTGTAGTGGACTGCAGTGAAGGTGTAGTTGTAGTTGTGGTGTAGTGTATTGGAGTGTAGTGTGGTGTAGTGGTGGTTGTAGTCGAAAATGCTACAAAACCTTCACGTTTTGCTCACTTTTGGCATGGTGCAGAATCCCTTGCGCCTGCCAGGCGAAACGACATCTGAATCTCCAAAAGTGGTCCGAGCCCCTGGTGTTTTTAACGTTTTGACTTGGAAATGTGCTTCGTGCCACAACGGCGTGCGCTTTTTCGACATCTCAACTTCCAAAAGTGGTCCCAGCACCAGGTGCTTTGTACATTTTGACTTCGAAATGTGCTTCGCGCCACAACGGCGTGCAATTTTTCATCTCTCATCTGGCCAGATGGCTCCGCACCCGCCGCTTTAGCGAGCCTACTTTTCGACCCTCCGGAGCCACAAATCATTAGAAAAACAGAGTGTTTCGCGGCTTTCCTACCTTTTCGCGCGCCTGCATCTTCTTTCTTCTGACTCTTTCTCTTCTCTGATCTTCTCTCTTCTACTCTTCTCTTCTCTCTGACTCTTCCCATCTCTGCTTTTCATCTGTCCATATTCTCGGAAGTTCATATTGTCGGAAGTTTGACTTCCAAACTTCCTTCGAACATCAAATACCCATTGAATCCCATTTATATGAACCTGAGCGCACAAGAAATACACCGTTTTTTGTTGGTTGTCCAGCACCCTCTTGCCAGGCCACGCACACTATTCATGGCACAGTTCACCGCCGTGACCCGGCGCAAGGTTTCTTCACCTCAGGGCTAAAATCGATATCCTGAGGTTGTCCCACAGAGTGCCGTGAAGTTCAGAGAATGGCAATCTGTGTAGTCCCAAAAGCATTCGAACTCGAGCCTCGCTAAGAAACAAGACAGGGTTGGACATGTACTGGCTCCCGCTGTCAATGATTGTGCTTTTGGATTTTTCAATACTTTCAATTGGGAAACTACTCAAAGGTCCTGATAAAACTTTGTGGGCTGGTCCTAGTCGTTCCTGGGAAGTTTGAGTATTCACACTTAACACTTTGCTGCAAATGGCAAGATATCTCCAACCAACAACCACACGTTTCCTCACGTTTCCCAAAGTCCCAGAGTCTCGGCTAAGCGGAGACTGCAGGATTTTCCTGTCGTCCCAAAACTGCCTGAAAGTTCACAGGCTCCTAAGGCTACGCACGGTAGACAAACGTGGAGAACTGGACTGAAGGATCTCATCAGTTGTCTGCATCAAATGTTTCCTCATTCTTATTGGTACACACATCGTCCAAAATTGCAGAGTCACGCTAGAGGGCCTCAAGTGTAATGGATGGATGGCTTTGTCTTGCGATTGTAGTGCTCCCTGAATCCATTTACTGAAGCTTTTGGTGCGGGCTACAAAGTCTGTGGATTTCGTGTGTGCTGACGCGTTTTCCCATTTCTTTCGACTCTTGTTGTACCTCACTCCTGCTGAATTAGTCTGGTACTCGTACAAAACGTTGAGCTGAAACCATGATATAGCCTGGACTGGCTCCTGCGAGTCACACACTGTTTGCAACCAGTCTGCGATCTTTCGGCCCTCTTCACACTGATAACTGTCTGCAAAGCTCTCCTCTGTCAAAGAAGAAAAATTGACTTCCCCTACCTCATTCACATTGATTCGGCTTGGATGCTGTCTATCTCCCTTCCCTTCTTCAGTTGGTTTGCTCTGAACAGCACATTGCGCAACTGCAATAATGACATCATGTATGCGGTTTCGCATGATATGAATGGCTTCAAGATCTTGGTGAAACTGGCTCCACAACTCATATAGTTTCCCATGACGGCTGAACACTGTTTGAGCCAATCTGTCTGCAGCATCATTACCCTGAAAAAGCCATGCTTCAGCTTCATCCTTGGCAGTGGCTGGGTCTTGGTGACTGCTCAACTTGACAATTTGAAACGACCCCCCAAGTTCTTGGACCAGCTGTTGTGCTACCATCCGCAAGTCTGCATTGGTGGCGTTCGGTTTGATTTTGACTTGCCTGCTGCTGAACTTGCTAAGACGCTTGACAACTGTGTTGTTGTCACACCACAACCTGACTGCACGCTTGTGATGAAGACCAAAACGCATGGCACTGATGGCGGCCCACAGTTCACCACGCAAGGCTGTTTGTGTCCAACCAGGGACTAAACCATTTGAAACAGGCCAAAACTGCTGAGAGTCAACATCACCCAAAATTACCCCCCATGAAGCTAGACGACCCTGACTGCTGGTCGGGGCAAGGCAGCCTCCATCTGTGAACATCTCCAACACTGATGGCAACACTGGTGGGCATACATACTCTTGATGCTCATCTGGTATCTGCAAGCAGGCTTTTTGGAACCTGGGCAAGCTCGGAGGTTCCGGAACCCAACCGTGAGCAGAGACGCACGGCGGCAGTGCTAAAATACCATCAATTTGCTCTTGGGGCATGTTCCTAACAGCTGCAAAATGAGGACATAACCACTGGCGATGCACTTGGGAGTCAGGCTGGGAACAAAACTTACACAAGTCAGCCCCTTCAACCCCTCTGTTTTTCTCATGATGTTTCTGTCTGTCAGCGGTAAAGAACGTACCATTCAAACTTGCTCTGAGCAACGCTTGTTGTTGTGGATCCTTCTTTTTGAAGGTGACTATGGTTAGGGCTGGTGACATCCACTGCATCCCTTCCATTGTCTTGCGTTCTGACGCTTGACCCTGAACTCGCTGCTGCCACGCTTGGGACAACCTGGCATGTAGTTCTTGGACGGGGCAATACATCAGGTCAATCGGTCTATTGAGTTGATCCAGAAAGATGCAACCATGGGACCACGACCAGGCAATCTGATGGAGCCTGGCAACTAGCACTGAAACAGGTCCCGGTCGGGGGACCACTGTTTTTCTCGGCAACTGCCATTCGGCAAGGCTGAAGGTCGCCATGTCAGGGTGGGGGAACATGGCTCTAAACATGCTTACAGTGGCAAACAGTGCATGGTATTGGGGATCAGCATGAGTGCTCTCAACTAGGCTTAAATGTACTGGCGGTGAAGTGCCAGCACTGTGTTCTCCCAGCCCTTGCACTGCCCCGGTTCGGAGATTTTGGAAATGCTCTTCACCCAAGTGTACGGATGCTATGCCATGTAAACATGAGGTACATGCTTTGGTCCTTAACGCTTGAACTTTCTGACGGTAAGGGGCAAATGACCTGGCCAATCGTCCCCACAGCTTCTTGATGCTGGCACACCTTTCTGTGATTGAACTGTTAGTTACAACTTGACTGTACTGCACATGTCCCCCTAGGTCCCGTGCTGCTAGCTTAACCTGGAGCTGCTGGTCACGGAAACTTCGTCTTTGGACGGCATTGACAGACCATGTGTAACTCTTTGAGTCATCTATTACCATGTCCATGGCATGGCAAAGAGCATGAAGGCCATCAAGTGCTTGGACTACCGCTTCTGCATTGGATCCCGTTATTTCCCAATTGCCCACAAAAGTCCATAACATGGCAGCTGGATATCTACGCAACATGTATTGGTGAACCACAATGTTGGCAGCTAGCATGCTGTAGTGACCGACAAACTGCAACCCTCTGCAAACCCTGTTGTGGACCGGATTGGGGGTCCTGTGCATTGATGGATGGTGAATCTTCTTTCCAAGGAAATCAAAGCTTTTGACCAGGCCCTCAGGATGGGTGGGGCAACATTGAGGATCCTCATGAAGGCCATCACTGGTACCCTAGGCAACATGTTAAAGGCTTTCTCAAGATCAACAACCCCTCCCGCAAGGTCGGTTTGGGCAAATTGCGCTATTTCAATGTTTGCCATGATATGATACCAAATGTCGGCTGCCTGTCGACCTGGTACACTGCCCGCACATGTCGGGGGCGCCAGGGGCTGCAAGTGGTTCAAGATCTGGCGGGCTCTGATCGAACTCCAAGTGCGGAAAATTACCGGTAAGATTGTGATTGGCCTATAGTGCTTTGTTTGGGATGCGGTTGGGATTTTTGCAAGGGCGGCAGCTATCCCTAGCACTAGTTGTCTAGGCCATGAGGCTCCCATTTCAATCTCATTCAACATGTTGAGCAAAGAGTCAGTTACCTGGTCAGGCAGGTGGAGGAGGTCTTGTCTGCTTACCCCGTCCGGACCTGTGGCTGCATGTTTCTTTTTGGATTTCAGCGCTCGGAGCCATTCTTCCTTGGTGATCCGTTGGTACGGCATGGGCTCTGGGCGGGGCAAAGCAAGTTCTGCAAACTGCACAATGGGATCCCATCGATCGGGGTCAACATTAAAGTTCCTATCCCACCTCGAGCGCCACTCATCACCAAACTTTGCAAACAGGTCAGTGAGCCTGCCTATATAGTTTTCCTGCTCAAGGGTCATACCTGGCTGGAGATCGGTGAGGTGATCAAGCCAAAGTTTACTGTCCTCTGCTTCGATGATGGTGTATGTACCTGTGTCATTGTGGACCGGCTGGGATCGGTCCCATGGAAGGTCTTGATGGACAATCACTGCCGATTCGTCCTCATCAATCTCGGTTACAGAAACTTTGCGATGGTCTATCAGCATCTGGACTGGCAGTGGTTTTTCATCTTTCAAGTCTTGGAAGATGACTGCCGGGTCATCTTTCCTTCGCTGTTTGGGCATTCAAGGTCTTTTCAAAACTGGTCAAATGTTGATGGAAGGCTTGACATAACCGCGTGGCAACAGAATGGTCAGGCAGTGGCATTGTGTGAGTCAGGGCGACTCCTGTCTGTTCACTCATCCACTGAGGGAAACCGGGGGCAAAACCCGTGGCATTCACAATGCTCTGCCACAACTTGGACCTGTGGTCATGGGCTGTGGGGGTATCATTACAAGCTTGGACAAGTCTGGCATAGTTGACAAGTCGTCGGTATTGACGCACCCATCGGCAATGCTGTTGGTTAAGGCCATGAAAACTTGGTTGGAACTCCCCTTCCCGTGATTTCTTAACAGGAGCTGAATGTTCCTGCACCCATACCACTTCAAGTTGCTGACCACGTCCTTTCATGTTGTTAGGCAATGGTCCCTTCCCTTTGGCACGCAAGGCTTTGTCAACAGCTTGTTCAGCTTGTCGCATGAGATTGGCATATTGGTTGGTAGGGTCTGCATCTGATGCAGGGGGTTCAAACTGTGCTGCAACATCAGCTTGGGTCAACACGGACCAGTCAATTGCAGCAGGGCGTTTCCACAAAGGCAGTAAAGGTGGGTTTCCTAAAGGATGGAACCGGGCAATCAGGATCGAGTGATCAGCAAACCAATCATGTTGGACTTCAACGTCTTTCAAGTACATGGCAAGTTGGGGGCTGACGTACAAATGATCCTTGGTGGTTTTTTGCTTGCACGTAACTTCAACTGGTTTGCCCAATTTTTGTTGAGCCCAAAATTGAACATTGACCCATCCTGCATCAGCCCAGTGGCTCATATTTGCTAATGCACCGTCAGGCTGATTGAAATCACCACCTATAAACCGCAACCCGTGGCTTTGGTGCACCAGGCGTGAAGTGACATGGGAACAAATTGCGTCAGTCTTTTCTCGGGTGACAAGGGTTTCAGGATGAACAGCATGTCCATAGATGACACCCCCTTGTATCCACCTCTCACCTATTTGAAAGCAGGCAACATGAAAACGGCTCTCTCGCCACGCTGTTTCTGGCCACGTGGCTGTCATCGCCCTGTTCGGCGCTGTCGTGATGAATCCAACTCCACGATGTTTACCTCCAATTGCAGAGGGAGTATGAGATCGCAGCGGCACTGCTGCTCCTAA